GCCCCGGCGCGCGGCGGCTCCGCGCGCGACTCTGCCCGCGCGCCGTGTCCGCCCGTGTCCGCCGCGCCAGCCGCCCCTCCGTTACTTCGGCGGGGAGAGACTTGGTGTTTGTGGGTTTGTTTGGTAAAGGGGGGAAAGCAGCTGGTCCGTGCCGGCAGCGTTTGGGGGAAAAATATGTATATATATGTATATAATTAATAACTACAGTGATTGGGGGTGTGAAAGCGGGTCGGTGCGTTTTGCCGAGTTAAATTCCCCCGCGGGTGTTGCCCCGGCGTGGCCGCGTTTCTGGCCCCGCTTCGCCGCCGTGCGGGTGCTCGGAAGGGCCGTCCTGGGGCGCGGGTGCGGGGCTGGGTGCGGGGCTCGGTGCGGGGCTGGGTGCGGGGCGCCCCTCGGGGCTGCCCCGGCGGCGCTGCGGGGTCTCGGCCGCCGCCGCGAGCGGCTGCTGCGGGTGTCATGGGCAGCCCCGGCCCCTCTCAGGCTCCTCGTGGAGCGGTGCGATAACATAAATGCTGGTTTTCCCATTTTAATCTTTGTTTTCTGGTAGCATTTCATTCTGAGTTTCGACAAGTGCTCTTTGGGCCCTTTGCAGCAGAGTTTTGGTGATTTTTGCCATTTGCGAAATGCCTGCGTGCTCTAGGTGTGCCTAGCGGTGTGGCAGCAGAACCCGCGCGACGTGACACGTCGGAGGGCTCAACCATTAGCGCGCTGTTTAATAACGTGTATCGGCTTTGTTTCCCRGCTTTCCTCTGAGTGCCAAGGATTCGTGCTGTGGAAGTGACGGGGTTTAATGGAACGGCACAAGACGCAGCCTGGGATCTGTGCGGGATCCCAAGCGCGGCCTTCGGGACGGTGCAGCAATAGCCCAAAGTGGGAAAAGTTGCTGGGACTCTTTGCCTCTTGCCTTTGGAAGAGCCCTCAGGAGGAAGCTTTCAAGTAACATGGGTTGTAGGTGTGATATTGCAGTTAAGAGAGGGCTCTGAAGGCTCTGCAAGCACCGGTGCGTGTGGTGCAAGCTCATTTAAGGGAAAGTGGTGTGAACTGTGGTGTAAGTTTAGACCAGTTGGGCTGCTTTTGGAGAAGCTGCTGTGTGAATGTGGCTTGTTTGCAGTTTTGGTTATGCCATGTGAGGGGAGGTAGAAGCAAAATAGAAAAAAGTTGCCCTCAAAATAAAAGCGCTTTTCTTTGTGTGTGTGTCTCTCTCTCTTTTTTTTTTTTTTTTTTTTTTAACCAAGAGGGCTGGTTTTGATTTAAAATATAAATATTAGTTAAATGTTTGAATGAAGCCTGAAGAGCTTGATGTGTCAGCACCACTCTGCATGTGATTTGATGATCAGAGAAGGTTGATCCTCTGCTCTTTGTGTGCATAAGCTACCAGGAAAAATACATTTTGCTAGACTAAGGGTTGCAGGATTAGGTTCCTATATAATAAATCTTACAGTAGTTTTAGCAAAAGAGAGTGGTGATGAATATCTGGCTGTTGTTATTTTATAACCAAATTTGCTGGTGAAGAGTGTAAAAGCCAGATCCAAAGGGGATTATCATGTTGTGGGTCTTCCTGACTAGCCAAATTAACCTGGACATGATTCTCTTCCACATCTTGTGGCAGAATTGAGGGGCCTTGCGATCAACTTATATTTTCAGACTTATCCACCCCAATAAAAGTGGGAGAAAGGATCACTATTACACTTGAAGATCAAGTTTTCTAGAGTTAGGGAGGGAGGGAGACTTCCCAGGGCCTCTTCACCCTTGTGCCTTTTTAGTTTTCTGCCTAAGTAGTTTCGTCTGCATCTGTATTAAGAGTGTTTTGTTGATGCAGGAATACTTGACTGTTCCAGGTGCAATGCATCCCTAGTGTGGACAATGAAGGTAGAAGAGTCTTTTAAATCCTCACACWCCTCCATGTTTCCATGGTATGTCGTGAATTATTCGAGCAAATTCCCAGTTTAGGAGGTGCCCATGTATGGATGTGTGCAGTAGGAGTTTGAGTCAGATGTGTCTGTCTTTGCACTGCTGTTTGATAGGACGATTTTGCTGGGAGAGGCAGGCAGCCCACAAAGACTTTGCTCACACATCTGTGGATTTACGCATGTGTAAAACTAGAGTAAGGTAGGGTTAAATCGGGGCTGTGCTAGTACTTGCATTTCTTGTATGAAATACCTGTATTTTCTAGATAAAGATCTGATTTCCCCTCCCCTGGGCCTGGGGGCATGATTCACCTCAGGTGCAGTAATGAGAGGGTTTAAGTTGCTGCAGCCTCTCAGCAGGGCGCTGGGTGCCGGGCCAGGCCGGTGCTCCCCCGGCTGCCGGGAAGCATTTTTGTTGTGGTGGAAGTTCTGACAGCCCTTCTCGGCTAGCAGTTACTCTGTGCATGAATGTTTGTAAGTTCCCACCGCTTTCCTAGCATAGCTTTGTGCATTTCATGGGCTGCCTTTCGGTTTCATGGATTCTGTCCTTGTTTGTGTATTTGGAAGAGAGAGCAGTTGGGAGAGCAGTTACTGAAATGTCTCAATATAGCTTAGTTGACCTTGACTAGAGTAATGGCATTGATTATAATAAATATTGTAAATAACTTCTTAAGCTTAGATAAAGCTTAGAAAAGTTCTAAGTCAGATTTTGCATCTTTGTAGGTTGTGTTCTAATTAAATATTTGACATTATAGGAGACGGTCCTTATAAGTCCCAAGATACTAATGAAATGTCAGTTAAATCATTTTTCCTTCTTTCAAAGCAGTGTGCAATACTGGGAAATCTTTAAGGACTGAAGAGTCATTTAACTTTTTATTCTCTGTAATCAAGCGTTTATTTCAAATTTGAGGTAGAAAGCTTGGAAAAATGCTGAACATGATRGAACTGCAGGCATATAAAAACAGAATGAGGTCTGCTGGGAAAATACCAAATGATCATGAAATACAGGAAAGTGGAGAGAATTTGTAGAATAGGTTGTTACCTGTAAGGATTCCTTTTTATAGGAGCCACTTATGTTAGTGAAAGCAAAAAGAACTTCATTTTTACTGAATACTTATTTAGTTTGTTGAAGTACTATTTAGGAGGTTTTAGATTCATCTTCTCCACATCTTTCATGTGTCTTTGACACAGCAAGGTTATTCCTGCTGTCTTTGATTATAGCCATGTATGTTTTTGTAGTGTTCTTCAGCAAACATGTAGGGCAGTAAATCCTATTATACTATGTCTCTAATTTATGACTTTCTAGCAATTAGAGTAAGCCTACTCATCTCATGATCGGAATTAAAATAATTTGGATATAATTAAAATATGCTGATATTAATCAAGTTACTGTTGAAATGTGCATAAGCTCGTTCAGTTTCTCTTTTCGCCAGTGCCTGTGCGTGTCTGTGTTAAGCTATTTTCATTTTTAATATAGTGTGCAAGCTGTTGCTAATTAGTGGCACTCAAGGTGGTCCCTAGGTCTCTATGAAAGGTCTCTGCTAAACGCAGAGGATAGGGGGAAGAAGGGGAGGGAGGCGGGCAGGAAAAAAGCCTTGGAGAAGTAGAAGTGCCAGACTGGGAGGTGTTTGAAAGCTTTGCACGGAGAGTGGGTTTTGTTTTTCATTTTAGACATGCAATGGCAAAGCCTTTCCAGGTCGTGCGCAAAGCTCCTGGGCTGCGTGCTGCGTTGGGCAGAGGCACAGGAGCCTCTCCTGGGAGAGGCTGGAGTTTCTCTCCTGTTTCTGGTGCAGTTCTGCAGCTTGACTCCAGCTTCACAAATCTGGCATGGGGCACTGCTAAACTTCAGCCCAGGGCTGCGAGCACACTCACTTCCAGTTTTGCAGCAGAATATGCAGACTATTACTTGCAACTATGTGTGTTATTAAATTGCTAAAGGTTTGTTTATTTTGGATATGTCTGTAATACGCTGAGTTCTACTTACGGTTCATGTGCCCTGTGGACAAATGGGTATACACACGTGTGTTTGTATAAGTATTTTCATATGCATTTATGTAAAACCATATTTTGTGCTGTTCTGCTTGTGCTAAACTTCTGTGGCTGCTAAGGAAGCAGTATTTGAACTGGCGCAACATAGTTGTAGGTCCAGGGCAGGCTTGTCCAAACCCTTGGCAGTCATGATTCTGAAAGTTTTTAASTCTTTCCCAGTCAGATACGAGAAAGCTGTTCCCTGCAGCAGCAACATGTAGCAATATAATAGAAAACAAGCTAAATGAATGCTAAATTGAATCTTTATTAATCCCATTCTTGCATATGGGGAGCTTCCTATGAAGTTGTACAGCAAGCTGCCTTTCATGGGTCTCTAATGAGAAGGCAGTTCACCCCCTGTGATGGCCCGCTTTGCACTGCCAAGTGCAGAGCAGTGCTCTCTCTACCCAGGAGCTGTAAAAGTCACTCTCTTTTATGTCCTTCCTTTTGTCTCTGTTTTGACCTAGCTCTAGATTCTCCACAGCTGTTTTGGAATTGATGTTGTCAAGTGAGTGGCATGTCTTACTCACTTTGTCAGAGTAATTCAGTACACTGCATGGCAAAGTGGTACTTAAATATTTATTTCTCCTCTGTAAGAGGAGGTKATTTAGCCAGTGTTATTGATGCATGCAGATATTTTGGCATTAGAAACTACTTGGGAGTTTAATTTGGAAGTTACTAATAAGAATTTTCTGCTTTTTAGGATTTCCATCCAGAGTTCAAAGAAAAGTCAAAGGAAGTTACAGATCATATGTCTCTTATTTTTTTCTGGGGTCAACTACAGGAAGTTGTATAGCTGCATTTTAAACTGCATGCAGTTTTCTTTAAAGATGTTTYTTCATTCAGTTGCTTTTAACAAAGGGTATTCTGGAGTAATCTCTGTTCACGTGATCCGTAATGCCACTGATAAAGTAGCCCAGTCTCCCTTGAATCCTTTGTGTTGCTCCTCAGAGGCTGTTTGCAGAAGAACTTACTTTGAGGTCAGAAAGCAAGGTAGCTGGTCTGCTTGGTGACCTGTGAAGAAGTACTGTTTGATCAGGTGAGATATGTGAAGAATTTTGTGTGTGTTTTTGTAAATATTTTAAAGAACTTCAACTTGGAGAAGCCAGCTTGTTTCAGCCATCAATGGATGTCAATATTTTAGCTAGACTATTTCACTTGAAAATATTTTGATGGTAGAAGRAATGTATTACTTTGCAGATCTATTGTATTAATTTGCAAGTTTACTTCTCAAGATATTTTTTTTGTCATCTTTTCTCACACCAAAATTATGTTGACGTCAGTGGTTGTATCATCTGCCTCTTGGTGGAAAGCTTCTTAGAAAAGAGTGTTAGCTACACTGTTAGTGTTCTTGTTTATATTACAGTATGGAGCTGGGCTATTTGGTGTCCCCCATATTACTGCCTTGCTCATAATCCCTTATTCTGGGGGAGCAGAAGTGGATGAATAAAAGTGGGTGGTTTTGTGTTTTTTTTTTTTTTTTTTTTTTTTTTTTTTGATGAAAATGTGCTGTTAGACAGGAATTGATGTGATTGATGGAAGCTTATGGCACAGTGGGCTGCTTGAGATTTAAGGAAGAGATTAATCCCCTCGGAGGGGTCTCCTGGAAAGCAGGGCCCAGCACTGGGCCGCTCCGTACATGAGAGGCCTGGTCAACCTGAGGGTTGTAGACCTCCTTGGGAGCTGGGGCATGTGGGGAGAAAGGAGCTGAGCAACCCAGCTTTGTTTGGGCTGGAAAAGAGAAGATGAAGGTGCACTGCTGTCTTCAAATTTCCTAAAGAGCTRCTGCGGAGAAGAGAGACTCTTCCCCAAGGTGTACGCTCCAAGGTGGCCCTTCCACTGTCACAAGTTGGAAGTGGGAATTCTGACTGATCCWTAGGGGGAAAAGCAAAACCAACATGGTTATGTGTTGGACCAGGGATCTGGAGGTTTGTTTTCTTGGAGATTTTTGAAAGTTGATGTGACTCTGAACAACTTTATCTAAATTTGACAGTAGTATTGCTTTGATCAGGGACTTGGATTAGGTGACTTCTAGAGGTCCTTTCCAACCTAAATTACTGTGATTCTGTAAGAAGACTTCCCATGGAGTCTGCTGCTTCCTGTAGACTTCTGCTAMGTAATTCTAAGCATATTCTTGATTTTTTGATTGCAGGGTCAGAGAAGTCTTTGTGTAGTACCCATGTCCAACATAGTTTAAAATAGAAACAGCTCAGTAAGGACCATGTCCAAAGGGAACGACTTTAAGCTGTCTATGGGCTAAAGTGCCTTTATAGCCCTGCTGTGATTAGTTGCAGTCTTGCTGATATGTGTAGAGAATACAACACATGGCAAATAGATTTTAAAGCATTTCAAGTCGTAGTATTCACTGGTGTAGTCCTAGTCAGTGTAGATGATTTCTTTTCAACTTAGAGGAAATTTGTAACATATATTTGATTTGAAATAGTTCATATGAAATGGCTGTAKTAGTTTTGTGTAAAGAAAAAAAAGTTTGTGTGTGTGTATACATATATAAGAAAAAGGCTCATGAAGCTCTCTGATCATTTGCTGATATGTTGTTGGGTCCTGATTTGACTGAAGCAGTTTCTCTTACCCTTTTTTTGAATGAGTATTCACCAGTGTTAACTGTGGCATCATGTTTGCACTGTCCGTGTTACCATCGCTTTGTATTTCTCTGCCAGGTTTGTGCAAAGGGGGGCAGAATAACAGTGCGTCTTGTCTTGGATGACCGTGTGGAGCCCCAATAGCATCACTGAAAATGCCCATAGATTTTTGGCTGAGTGGCTGCAGGCTTCCTTGAGTTAGCGATGACCAAGTAGTCTATATTATATGGATCATAAATGTTATTTGTTCAAGCAGTATTTCACTGAGATGGCATGAACTTTGTGTATTGATGCCCACAAGGCTCAAATGAGAGTATTCAACAGTAGAGGGATTTATGCTATTTGTGGGGAAGGAAGGAGGGAAAGAGTTCTTGAAAACCCCTCCCTACAAAAATATTTTTTTAAAAATGACATTAAATTCTTTTACTAATTCTTCAATATTATTGAATATTATTATTTTACTTATTCTTCAATTCAATAAAACACTGCAATTCAGTCTTAAGTCGGGAATCCAGTTCAGCTTTTCAGAAAGCCCCTCAGAGGAAGAGTGTAACCTGCAGCAGTGCAAGCAGACACCATCAATCTGGACCGCTGCGGTTGCGTGCGTGTGTGCCCGCTTCTGCAGAGGTACAGCAGGCTTGTGGAAGAGCTGGAGTAACCGCGGTGTGTGCTCTGCAGGGTGCTCAGGCTTCAGCATCCCTGCCCTCCAGGAGCAGCCTACCTGTGCAATGGCACGTGGAGGAAGGCAGGAGGTGGTGGAATATGGGCTTGGGGGAGGAGGGAGGAGCGTCATCTCGCGCTCCCAGTCGGGATGGGAAGCTGCGGCTTGGCATTCTGCCCCTTATCTTGAGCTTTACTTTTGTCTTTACTATCCTAACAATGCACATTTTGAAGCATTGTACTTTGAGCTTTTCACTTTTAAGGCAGCCTTCCACAAGACCTCAGAGTAGCTTGGTAGTGAGAAGATATAAGAAGTTTTGAATCCTGTTTACTAGCCTCATTTATTTAGATCTTATATTCAGCATGAGTTTTCTAGCATTCTCCACATATAAAAGAGAATTTTTCTTTTAAATAAAAGCTGAAATACATGTGTTATTGTTGATATAAGCTTAAGAAAAAGACCAAGTACCAGTAGAGTCACATGAGAAGTGTGGGAAAAACTGTGTCTGATTTAACAGGATTGTGGTATGGGAATAACCTTGATAGATCTGTGCTTTTAAAATTTTTATTTGTATTTTAATTAAAAAAGTAAAAAGTCAGTTTGTTGTRGTTGGATTTTATGAAACCTAGTCAATATTAGTAAGTGGGTGTCATCGATCTAGCATTTATCCTGATCTGGGAATCAAGCTGATAAGTGTTTTCAAAGTCATCTTACGAGTCATAAAGGCTGGATAGAGCAGAACTGCATTAGTTCCCTGCTCACTGTACTGTAGTGCTGCTGATAGGACAGAGAGATGCAGAATTGCCCTTTGTGGCTGGAGATTTCTCCACTTAGGTGAAGTCTGACTGACACCAGGCACATTTCATCTTCACAGAAGATGGAATAGTGTGTATGGACTAATCTACATATGAATATATTTATATGTATGTGCATAAAAATTACTTATTTTAAACACACTTTACATCATTTTTTTATTGTCCTGCTTTTCTTGTTGGGGAGGAGTGGATTGAGAGGGATAGGGCCCTTTTGGAAGGTTTGGTAGAGGTTACGTTGTTAAAATTTTGCTGAAATTAATTTCCCCTTTAACAAAAGAATAAGTTCTGTCAAGTAAGCTAGGGCAAGCTAGTTGCATGTGTTCCCTGTTGATGCAGATGTAGGTGACCAGTCCTGAAATTCCTGCAGGTGCTCACAGGGGATTMTGGCACTGACCTTTCCCTGGAGCTGGGGTTGAGGAGATGCTGTGTCGCAGTTGACAGGGGTGTTCACAGGGAACAAGAGGAAAGCAAGTCACAAACACTTGAGCAATCCATGCCCAGGGACCTCGGGAGAAGCAATGTTCTGTTTTTTGATTCTTGTTTGTGGTACTGAAAGTGGCACTAAGATCTGCTGTATTTTTTCCCTCAATATCATAGTTCAGATGTGAGTGTGTCCACCTTAAGCCTTGAAAAATTATACTTTGTAACTACTCTTTCCTATTGTTCTTTTTCCAGGACGTCAAATTGGCTTCAGTCTGTGGAAACTGCTGCAGTGTCAGACTCTAACTTGCTTCCAGTTCTCAGGAGCAAAGGTATGGTGTAGGGGTAAGTTTAAATCCACTTGTAGAATTTCCTGAAAGAAATGAAGATTTTAATTAGTGCCCTCTCCTTTGCAAGGCAGTCTTTGGCACATTTCTTCCTTTAGAGCTGCTYGGTCCATGACAGCAGGCTATCAGCATTAGAGAAAGGGAAATCCAAAGGAGTGCAGTTACTTTGAAAATGGAGCACAAAGTTAATGAATAGAACACTTACAGGGAAAGTACCAAGGTACACTCTATCAGGTAAGCATTTTAAAAATGAGAAGTGCCCCCCTGTTGGCTTGGTCTCCTTTTAACTGTGCTCTTTGAAAATATAATTGGAATCATGGTTAACCTGTGGAGATAAAATATGTTTTTGGTAGATAAAGTTGAAATAATAYACATTTAGCAATTGGAAGTGTTGCTGGGAATACTAGATGCAGGTAGAAGAGAACACTAATTCCCATTTCCTTGTTTCATCCTAAGGACAAAGTACCCTTGGTGCAAAGCCCAGGGGACCTATATACTCATTAGCAGGTGGAGGGAAGCATTAATCTTCTGTCCACAAACTTGCCCCAGCACACAGGGCAGGGAGCAAGTTTTTCGTGAGGCTTGTTAGAGGCTGTGTTAAACATGATAGKGTAGTTTTGTAATCACAGTCCCAGCCGCTGTTACTGCATGCTGGTATGTATCCTTGGTATGCTGGGCTTCTGGAATTTATAATTTATATCCACACATTGTGGAGACTTGATGCTATTTCTCATTCTTGAGATGTGGGCAAAAGCTTCTTCCAACTCTCCTAAAATTGCTCTAAACTGTAGGGTCTGTTAGGGTCTCTCTCTCTCTCTCTCTCTCTCTCTCTCTCTCTCTCTCTCTCTCTCTCTCTCTCTCTCTCTCTCTCTCTCTCTCTCTCTCTCTCTCGTCTTTTTCTCTTTTTCTCTTTTTTTATTTTTCTTCCTTCTTTCCTTCTTTCTCTTTCCCCTCTCTTCTCTTTGTGCTTAGGCAGAAATATTAGGATTCTTTTATAAAGTTCATAGTCTTTCTCATTTGGCAGTAAGTTAGGGCATGGGCCTAACTTAATGAGGTATCTGAGCAGCCCATTTTTATGGGAGCATGGTTTAAGGCTAGGAGTATGTCCAGTCTCCAAACTGCCTAGTGAATATTCTGTATTTGGAAAGAGTGCCAGCTGGCAGTGGTTAAGGAGTGCATGCTTATTCTGCTCATGATAGCCAAAACATGCTCCCTGCTGTGTGTTTTTGGCAGCTCTGCACTGGCAGCATGTCCCAATGCCAGTTGCATGTCCCCTTTCTTCCTCCTGAGTGTGTCCCATAAGGCATGATTTAGTCTGAATAAAAATGTGTTTTGGGAAGGAAAGAGACTGCATACTTTTGAAAATCAAAGTCTTCCTGAAAGGCCTGTGGTATATTATTTCCATAGTTGGGGGGGGAGGTGGGTGGGGAGTGAGATGATGATGAGATTCTACTGTAATCTGCAGCAAATTGGCCTTAAGTTCCTGAATATCTTTTATTTATACATATAAATATATATAGAAAATTAATAGTTGTTACAAAAAGGATATATATATTTACACACAAATATATGCTTTATTTTTGTGGAGTTAGGTATAAAATGCCTAAAGTATCTACATTTTAACCTTATTTGAATCTGTATAACTCTGTAGTTGATATATTATTTTACACTTGAGGTCTGAACTCAAACATCACCTCTTAAGCCATTCAACAGAAGTAATTTAAAGGGACTAAATGTCTAAAATAAGTGTTGTATTTTATTAAAAAGATATCTGATTATGTGTGGGCAGCATGACTTTTACAATCAAGTCTTACAAATGTGCTTAGCCAAGTTACCTGAAGTAGTTGGTGAGCTGCAATACATGGGATGCAAGTTCTTAAGAACCCCAAATAAAATAAACCCAGTCTACACCCTTTTGTCATTTTTATCACCCAAAAAAGATTGGRGGACAAGGAGAATAGGCAAGAATATTGCCATTAGACTGGTAATACAGGATTTTCAGTGCATTATCTGAATGACTGCATTCAAGACCTGTATGTTACCAGGCTAAGTAACCTGTGGCTAGAGTCTGGGTATAGAAATACTCTTGTATTTAAGTTTCCTTTTATTTTATTTTTTTTTTTTTACATAAAGTTTTACACCTCATTTGTCTGCAGCAGATCATAGTGACAAGAAGTTAACTCTTAGACAACTGAAATGCCTTTTTCTTTTCTAAGACAATTAAGGGTTTTTTTGTTCATTTATTTTAAGATCTGGTAAGATACAAAAGCCTAAAAATCACTTTCTCTTCTCTGACTTATGCTGCTTTGGAAATAAACATTGGCAACCAGCCCAAGTCACTGGCTTCTCTAAAAGTAGCATGACAGCTGCTGGAGCCGGAGGAGGAGCAGTGTCACTTGGAAAACATGACGTGGGCCYGGTTCCTTGTGGACATGGGACTTCCCCACTTCTATCAAGCTGCCTTCACTAGCTGCTTTAATGCACCTGTTGCTCACTCTGTGATTGAGAAAACCCTTCCTATCCCAGGTGAGAGTAGGAGAGTGGGATAAGAAATATGGCCTTGGCTCTGACCCTCTTGAGCTCACCTCAGCTGTCTGACATTAGTGCTGAGGGACTCAACTCAGCTGCTTTCAACTGCTGCTCTAAAAGGGGTGTAGGTTTCTTGCAGGTTGTTGCACCAATCAGTCCAATGTGCCCTGATTATCCAAAGGCATCTGATATTGCACTGGTCATCTGTATTGAGCTGTCTGTTGTGGTCATCTGCAGAATGTTTGAGAAAGCACTGCTGCATGACGGCTAAATTAAAAGATTGGGATACAGCATGCCAAAAAAAAAAAAAAAGCCTTCTAGAAAGTTGTTAGCAAAGTTAAACATTCTGAAGTTATGAAATATCAGATTTATGGTATTTTGAGTGCACCTTTCTACAGAAAAAATAGGTCTTGCAACTAGAATTTTGTTTGGCGCCTGAAGAATAGCAAATAAAGAAAACTGTAACATGGTTATGATATTTAGTAAGATGCATGAAGGTATTCTTGAGGTTCAGAATGTTCATAGAAGTCAATATTAATATATTATACACATGTGGGAAATAAATTTTGGAACTGATTCTGTTTAAATTCCACTTCAGCCAGATATGTTTGCATTATAGAAATTTAATGCCAATTCAGAGCTACAATAAATAAGCATATGTAACACAATTTCAGTGAAGTTTTCTACAGTTATGCTAACATTGAATTCTACCTCTGATCTAAAAGGAAGTTCTTTGAAAGTTCTGCCAATACAATTTTATCTCGGAATAGCATTGAGGTTTACTAGCAGTGCTATTTATTTTGCATTGTAGGAGCAGCTCTAATTATGAGTCAAAATAATACAGTTTTATTTTTAAACTGGAAAAAAAATAAATGAAAACCTTTGTGGAGTTGAAAAGTTTCTTGAGTGCCAGGTTATGACCAATTTACTCCCATTAGAACTGGTAGGACCACTCTTGTACCTGTCCCCCACGGTGTAAACTCCTAATAATGGGAGTAATAAAGRAGAAAAAATTGACTCCAAGAAAGACATAGGAAACTTAGAATGCCTCTGTTTTTAAATGGATTATTGTGAACTGCTTGCTGAGATGTGTTTTATGCATCCATCTGATTAGCTCTGACTTACGTTCTAACTAGCGAGCCACTGTTTAACAAGTGCTGTTCTATGGAAAATCTGCACTTAAATATTCTCAGCTGAAGCCTTTTTTAATTTTCTTTAAAATTCTGATTCCTTAGTGAAATGACTTGTCTGGCAGTCATGTTACCTGTCCCTTCCTTTATTGCTTCTAAATTTTTTGTTTAGTGGAAATGAAATTTTTAATAAGTTTGTTCCAGTGAGATTTGGGTGACAACAGAATAAGGGGCTTTGGCAATGAGCAATACAACAGTAAAGAAGAGATTGGGTTTTTTCTAAAAGCGTCTTCCTCAGACACTGTGCCAAAAGGCCAGATGCTTTGCCTCCAGCTGTGAAATCCTTTGAGAGTATTGAGAAGAAGCTCTGGTGATTTGAGGCAGCAGTCAACTTCCAGGTTGTGTAACAAAGCTTTAATGGGTCTGTTRCATCATCATTTCACCATAAACAGGATGCAGAAATTAGGGATTTACATTATTAGTCCAGAGTACTTTCTGAATGAATCTCATGTAGGCTCTCAGCTTGATCTTGAAATGAAGTCTGTCTGGGCGGTTCCAGAGGTAAGTATGCCAAAGCTGAGCTTGCAAAATAGGCTAAAGCAGTAAAGGAGACATAGGTCCCCATATAGCATTGTTTTGAACCACTTTAAGCCAGCTATTATGGATTAGCGTAGGGATGGTATTTTGCTAGGTACAGCTCCTGACAACTTGACAGTGAACTGTTTGTAGACATTGGCCCTGTAGACGAGGGCTGTTGAGATGCAGAGTTTTTCACCACTGCTAGCTGTGTACCTCTTAGGGAGAGCCCATTCATCGAGGCTGCTTGTGAGATTGCAAAATAGGAGTGCAAATTTCTGCTGCTCTGGTGAACTGCCTTTTCTAGACTTTTTCTTTCTGTTGATTGGGGTGGTGCAATTCTGTAGCCAGCTTTGCAGTCTGCAGAATAAAAAAGCCTTGGAATTCCCTAGGTTTATTGGAGGAACAGAGTTCACCTTGCACAGTCTGCAGTTCTTAATTTGTAAAATGAGCATGGTGTATTTGTGTTCTGAGTAGGGATCTGTTCAGTCAGATGGCAAGTTTTATGTATAGGCCTTCTGGTTTTTGTTTGCACAGTGCTTTTGGTGATTCAGTTGCGGTTCTTTTTTCTGCTTGCACTAGTATCTAATATTTACTACTTTCATCTTGGTAAAGATGGATCTTGTACTTGAAAGCAATTGAGTCTTCCTCTGCATGCTTTTAGGAGGACATGGTCTTCTTTCCTATTGCTAACCCAGCCCTAGGTAGTGAGCTTTGTATGAATCTCRTTGCTAGATGACACAACTTTCC